TATAACAACTCTCTGCTTTCTTTCATCTAGCCACTCTTCTATCGAATTAGTTAACTCATCCCCCACACCTATAGAGATGATTTTTTTTTACAAACCTTTTATGTTGCACCTCATCAAATGTTTTTTAAAATCCATAAACACCAAATATTCACCCTTATCCTCATCTACATAAGAAGTAACTTTTTCAAAGAATGTCAAAAGATTTGTAAGGCAAGATTTTCCATTAGTGAAACCATGTTGACTATTCAATAAAATTCCAAACTTTGTTAAGTGACTTTGCAAAGCATCTTTTATCAGACTTTCTAAAACTTTTCCCACAACTGATTAAGACTAATACGCCTATAATTACTGGGGCAATTTTTATCACTTTACTTGAAAAGAGGATCAACATTAGCCAACTTCTAATCCTCTGACACCTGCCCACTATTCAAGGATTGGCAAAAAATAGCAGCAAGTAGCTCACATATTCAATCCTTAATATCCTTCAAAATTCTTGGTGAAATATTATCTGGCCCAGAAGCCTTATCATTCATTAAATTTCCCAATTTTTTCTTAACAAGCTCAGAATTAATGATCTATTTGTTCAGTCTTATTTTCATCTGTCAACTGTTCAAGATGAGGAATATTTCTTAAATCTTAATTTGTAAAAACTGAAGAAAAAGTATAACTTTATATCCCAAACACTTCATAATCATCAGATGTGAGCCTTCCTTTATCATCCCTCCAAGGTCCTACCCCCATCCTAACATTTTGCTTACCCTTAATGTTTTTAAAGAAATTCTTGTTATTAATATTTATTTTGCCCCCAGTGGCACAGCGGTATGTCTGCAAACTTACAACGCTAGAAACCGGGTTTCAATACCCGTAGTGGGCAGAGCACAGATAGCCCATTGTATAGCTTTGTGCTTAATTCTAAACAAACAAATATTGATTTTTTCAGACATTGTTTTTATGTCCTAATTTCTTGTTTGACTAATTTTTTTAATATTCTATAATTTTTGAAATCTCCCATCAAACCAATCAATTTAAATTTTTTACACTTGTGATGTTTTTCTTTAATTTTATCTTTGTGAGCCAATGTTTTTTTTTTACTTGCAGCCAACCTTCTCTTTCTATAAGAAATATGTTTATCTTGAATATTTAGAAATTTTCCACATTTGATCAGTGTCTCCAAATTACTCAGTTGCCCAATTCACAACAGATAATTCTTGTTGCATCCCTTAAAAATTTGTTGTTGTTTTTTATTTGTAACCAAAATATCATTATTCCTGATCTCCATATGCAACAAAGCATTGAACCTAATAGAGCAATGATCACTTGTACCACAATTTCCACCCTCTCAACAATTTATATATTAGAAGTTAACCATAAATCTCAAATAGCATTGGTTCTTGTAGGGTCCCTGGCCAACTGACGAATAAAACCATTTTGAACAGTTTCCAAAAACCTTTCTCCCTCATGGCTTGACTCTAACATTTCCCAATCCATATGTTTGAAATTAAAATCAGCCATAATTATAACTTCATTAACAGCTGAAATCTTAGTATAATTGTAAAGTTTCTCATTAATTACATCAGTATCATCTGGTGGTCTGTAAGAAATTCCCACCAAAACCTTTTTCTCTTTGTATCTGCTATTAGAAACCCAAATGGATTGATTTTCCTTGCTATTATTTTTGATATCCTCAACTTCAACAGGATGTAACCAACATTTTATATGTAAAGCCACTCCTCCCCCTCTCTCTTTAGTACTCTATCACTATTATATAACCTATAACCATCTATTTCAAAGAAATTTATGTCATCAAAATTATTTTCATTTAACAATGTTTCAGTTATTCCCATTATATCAAAATCCTCCATTCCTACCAATGCTCTAAAGCCATCTATTTATTTTTTTTACTTCTAGCATTACAATATTAACAATTAAGCCTATCCTTATAACTACTTCTATACTCATTTCCAATGCTAAATTTTTCTCTGCCTCTTATTCTTTTTGCATTCAGTTTTTCCTGGCCCTCACCACTGTCTAGTCCTAGTTTAAAACTTCCCTTGCTGTTGAACTAATAGCCTTAGCAAACAAGCCAGCTCCTACCGTATATAAATGTGTATCATCTAATCCAAAAAGCTCTCTTCTCCCATTAAACTGATTCCTCAAGTCTAATAAGCCAATCTGCTCATTCTTACATACTAACCTAAGCCTAGCATTCAGCCCTAATGATCTACTTATAATTTCACCCCCACAATTAATTCTCGGCAGTATCCTTGATATAATTAAGATACGGCCCTTTTCTTTAAATGGCTTTATCAACTCCCTTGTACTTATTAATTAGCTCCTTTGTCCTACCATTCCCTATGTCATTAGCCCCTACGCGCACAACAAAAACTACATCTTTGCTATCTCCCTATATCATATCTCATACTCTGTCAGTTGTGTCCTTCACCTGTGCCCCTTAGTAACATAATCTAATTTTTTTCTCCCTATTTGCCCCACAGACTATCCTATCCACATGCCTTCTCAAGGAATCATCTGTTATTATAACCTCTTAAGTTTATCATTCACATCCTCCTTTTGTTTTCCTTCTCTTCAATAGTTTCTCATCTGCACAAGCTGTACAATTATTATATATGTGTACTGTCCTCTTCTTAAGACAGAAAATAAGATTCACTAAAGTTTAAAGTCACGTGACCTAAGATTTCTGTAGTGGTTTGTTTTGCTTACTATAATAGCTACATGATAGTAGAGTCGTGCACATGTTGTAGTCTGAGTGAAACTGCAAGTATTTTACACCAATCTGATCCAGATTCATTTGATGTTCATAAGAATAGGAATTATGAGCCTAGTGATTTTGAGTCTAACAATGAGAGAGGCCTGAATTGTACAGACCAGGTAGACGTTCAAGCTGGTTTGCCTATAGCTGACACTGACACTGGAATACCAGCATCAGTTGATGGATGGCACTGTCCAGGCTACATATTAGTCCCACTGATATTTATTTTACTGCACAAGCCTCAAGTTGTTGGTGGTTTGCTGCTAGAGGCCATTCCAGTTGACATTTTCAAACTTTTTGTGGTGGAGGATGTTCTGAATATGATGTTCACTGAAACAAGTAGTTTTGCTGAAGAGTTCTTAGAATTGAACTGCCTAAACCCTAAAAACAGAATGTACCAGTTGTCTGCAACTGATGCATTAAAATGAGAAAGTTCCTTAGCATTCTTTTAATCACGAGTATCGTGAAAAAACCATTGATAGAGGATTACCGGTCAACTGATCCAGTGCTGGCTAGTTAGCTTGTCAATACTGTTATGCTTTGTGATCATTTTGAACTATAGCTAAAGTTTTTGCACTTTAGCAGTGATGAATATGTGCTAGAAAATTATCAATTCTATAAACTGTAGGCAATCTACAATGCTTTACTCCAGCATTTCTAGGAATAGTATGTGCCTGGCAAGGAGTTGTCAATTGATAAATTGATGGTGTTATGCCATAGCAAGTGGGTGTTCCACCAGTATACACTTAGTAAGAAGCACAAGTATGGTGTGAAGCTTTATGTCTTATGTGAGCCATCCTGGTATGTAAGGAATGTCCTCGTTTATTGTGGGAGATCGGACATAGTTGCCTGACTTGGACATGCAAATGTAGCATTATTGGAGCTGATGCAGTAACACCATAATCTCAGTCATGAATTATGCATTCACAGTTTTTATACTTGTTTGCCATCGGTAAAAAAACCTCTGAAAAGGAAGATGCTAATGTATGGAATCATATGACGAAACTGTAGATATCTTACTCAAGTTGTTGTGGCTGCATGATTTATTCTGTTGCAGAAGTGGGAGCATTGTGGTGGAGAAGTGGTGAGACAAGAGATACTCTAATGTTGTGCACATTTCCTACTGGAAAACTTGTGGCCAGCGAGAAGATAAATCAGTGAGGTCAATGTGTTCAGAAATCAGGCTGTATTCTCACTATGACAAAAATATGTGTAGTGTTCATTGTATGGACTAACTAATGTTTTACTATACAATACACCACTTCAAAAGTCACTCATGTGGTACAAGAGGTGTTGCACTTTTTTGGGTATGGCTATGGCCAATCCTTGCCTCATTTTTTGCAAGCATGGAGGCATACAGCCACAAGTGTGGTTTAGAATACAAGTTATAAATTTAATGGTGTTGGATCAGAATCATGATACAGAATCCATACTCAACAATGCCTTGACATGGCCATTTTCTGTCACAAATCTAATGAATGTCACAGCTGTCAAAAGCAGCATTACCCTGACATAATACCATCAATGTCAAGTAGGTCAACAGCAAACAAGGGCAGTGAAAGGAGACATGTTGTCATTGGGAAACGTGTGACTAAGCCAACACTTTTCATTGTACCCTGTTTCAAGACTTATCACACAGAGGAAGACTTCTCAAGGTGATAAAATTTGCACTTGTAAGATTTTGTAACATTCATCATGGTGTATTATCTGTTTCTGATGCTTCTTTGACACAAGTAAACAGTGCAAGTCACTGTACATTATTGACTTAGTGAATGGGTTAAAATTGCTGCAGTGGCAAATGTGTTAAATCAACTTGGGCAATGCTCATACACTCTAGAACATATTAGAATACAGTTACATGCTTTGTTGTAAACCAGTTAAATAATTTGTACATTCCAAACTGTAGTACTTCTCTCTGATGTATGCCTAAAGCCAAAATGTTACTTATTAGAAATTAAATTCACTCAGTGTGTTTGAGAGCAACTGTTTAATTTTTATTCTTATTAAATTTATATTTTCATCTAATATTTGTTTATTTTAAATTGAATCTATGTTTTGAATTCTGTTTAATTTATCTTTTTTGTTTCTTAAACAATTGTAAAAGAGGTACTATATCAATATTTTTGCTCAGTGAATAGATAGATTTGCCATTTCTTCATGCTGATAATTTATCAGTTTCCATCTTGTGTGTTTGGTTTTAATAATATTTGGACAACTTTATTTTATACAGCGTTTATTGTGTCCACCAGCTATGAGCTACTTTTTGACTACAAGGGGACATTTCCAAAAGCTTCTTTTACGTGGAGATTCAAGTGGCCGTGTGATAATATGGAGTATTCCAGAAGTGTCAAATCGTGATTTATCAATCTTACAACAAGAAAAGTTTGATAAAGCACCTGGTTAGTGAGTTATAATTTATCTCATTTTAACTAAAAGCCTATGTCTAGAAAGCATTTGAAGAATATTTAATCTGTTTAATTCAGTACTGCATAAAGTCAGGCCACTAATATATCCCCCAAATTTGTAAGTACTTATCTATATCTTATTTGAAGTGGAATGATAATAAATTATACCAAAGTAAATTTGTTCGTTAATATGGAAAGGTATGGCAAGCTAAGATTTGCCATAGTACTTATAATGACGAGCAAGACAGTTTCAGAGGTGAATAGAAGATTCAAGTTACACCTCAGACATTTTTAATGAGTTTTTCTCTCATCTAAACCAGATATACCCAAACATAAAATTCATGATGGAAAAAAAATGTGGAAAAACACAGGCTTCCAAACCTCCATATTTCATAAGAACACTTGCAATGGACTTTATGTTCCTTGGAATTCCCTTCATGACCAATGTTAAAAGGTGCTATTTGTACAAATAAAATCATTAGTTCCAACATTGATTGTTTCAAAAAAAGAAAATGAAAACATTAGACTTCAGTTTTGTGTACAAAATAATTTCCCTCCCACTGTTGTTATAAAAGTAATTACTTTTTTTGCATGCTGGGCTTCCTTCTCCCGTCCCTTCCCCACAGTTTGACTAGAAGGAAAATGAATTTCATCAACTGTTCCTTCCACTATTTCAGAATATAATTTCCCAGGTATGATTCTTTGTTTCTCTTTCACCTGTGTCTTATGATTTTTCATTTCTTGCTCCAGGAAACTAATACTCTGGATTATTTATTATTTCTTCTACCTCTCCTATTCTGGATACCAGATCTCTTTTCCTGTCCTTCCAATACCCATTATGTTCATTGCATGTCTCGTCAATGACTACCATGTTGGGTTTGGCCCAGTGAGTGCCTAGCTGTCTCATTTTACCAACCTTCTGTCACAATTTTCTACCAACCTCCTATTTCTTTTTCTCCTCCCTCTGACCTTATCTTCAGCATCTTGAGGATGTAGCATTGGATCTTTTGGCCAAAAATGTCATCCCCAAGAAATTTAGGTACTGGCATCTGATAATCAACCAATTTCTGATCATTCTACAGATCCAAGTGGAAAATTTCTTTTCTTCTTTGTTGGTCTTTTTAACTTAGTCTGTGGATGACCAAGGTCAATATGTTAGACATTTTCCTACATATCTCGATTTCCCTATCATTTAGATGTTTTTTCTATATGTTTCTTCCATCGGAATGAAGTCTTCCAATTCCATGCTCTTCCCTTCAGCATAGCATTGAGCTCTTATATATTCAGTTGAATGGCCTTCACTTACTACCCAAGGCTGAGATTCCACTTGTACATAGACAGTTAGCTTCTCTTGGTTCATTCTTGGGAGGTATACTCTTGGAACATCTCCCTTCTTCTGCTCAGTTGAGATATTTTGTAAAGATTTACAAGTCCTTTCTCATGCTCACACAATATTTGGTTCATCTGGGCATTTTCTTCAACTTGTCTTAACTGGATTCAGCTTTCACCTCTTTACCTGCAGACTATGGAATATCTGGTCACTAAGATTTGCACTTCTTGTTTTCATCTTGCGTGAGGGGCTCTTTCACTTTTGGGGACTCTTACTTCCCTCCAGTGAACCTTGTGAGACCAGTAAAATCTTTCTTTCTTAACCTCAATTGTGAACCTCCCCTCTCCGATTCTTGAAGACTTGTCACGGTGGCTGGACCATTCCAATAATACTTTCAGCATCCCCACCCCCCACTGGATCCTAGTGTATGCATCAGTGTTTGTTGGATATGTTCCCATTTCCTACCTCTTCTGGTGTCCATTTGGTCATGATCCACTCTGAAAATTCTAAGGATATTTCTTACATCAACCATCAAGGGGCACCCATTCCAGGACTCTTTTTGTTTTCAGACATTGGACTCCTTTTTTGGGGTCATTCCTATTGAGTTTATCTTGTTGCTTGCCATTAGCTAGGAGCTATGAAACTTGTGGCAGCCCACTGCTCTTGCCTTGACCAAGTTCTAATCACAGAGTGGTATCTCCATCCCCATATTTTTCATTGGGCTTGCTCTTGGCTAGACATAACTCTCATAGATTTCTCTGTCTCTCTTTTCAATTTCGAGCTTCTCCTATACTGATCTCAGTTTCCTCATCCTTCGGCTCTGACTGTTGATACTCTTAGCCAGAACTGGTCTCACCTTTTCCTTTTTGCCTATCCTCCTCTTCAACTCCTTTCTCAGGTTCTCGCTTTGATACAGGATACTCCTTGTCATGTCCTACTAGTGGCATCTTTTTGGCCAGCTAGAACTTGATTTTCTATTCTTCCAGATCCTACTTCTCCTACCCAATATCTTCTGTCTATTGCTTTAACCTCATACTTCCCTTTTTCATCCAGGGATATCATCCCTACATCTCTACATGTGGGATTTGTCCAGACCGTTGCCCTTCAGGCCAGATTCAATTCATATTCTTCCCTAGATGTTTATGCTCATAGGTTTTTTTCACATCTCATTTACACCAGATTTGTCACCTGTCTCATTTGCATTCTCTTGCTTTTCATTTTTACCAGGACTTGGATGAGATTCTCTAGTTGGGAATGTGGACAACTCCCCACACATTTTTCACTTGTTATTTTCATTTGGCTGTTTTGTCTCCCACAAGATTTCAGTTTCCCCTGGTCATCATTGTTCTGTCAGCCCACCATCTTTGAAATGGATAAGTATGTTTCTTATTCTCAGCCTTTCCATATAACAGGATCCTGCCAGGTGACATGTACTGTCTCCCAGGGTATGCTTATTTCCCAAAATACACATTGGGCCAGGGGATAATGGAAAGTGCACAAATCATCCACCCTGGCTCTACAAGTGCCCACTGTTGAAATGGGGTGTTCTGCAAGACCACTAAAGGTATCCTTTTAGTGTACAATGCAATTACTAAATTTTCAAATCCAAACCATACCATTTCATGGGCTATCATAGAAAAAGCTAGTGCTAGGGAAGTGACTATCTACTTCTTTGGCTTTTGTTTGCCTGCTTTTAAATATAGGGTTTCGAAGTCCCCGTTGCCAGATGATGACAAAACCTTGTCGAAACGTTGTACATTTGCTTTTATGTTAAACTTATATTAAAGTTTTTCTTCATTACCCATTCAAGCCGTCTCCAGCCATTACCTTTAAATTAATAAAATGTTTTTTTCTATTCAGCAGCAAATAAACATATTTGAGCTAAAAATTTCATATTAGCTAAAATTCTTAATTGCTTATAAGTACACTGTAGTTTCTTTTTTATTTTTATTCTGTTACTTGCCTTACATGCATAAAGATATGCTGTTTTGTTTATAAGGCCATCTATCTCCCTAAATATGCATACGCATGTCTGTATGTTGATAGATTTTTTTTTGTTAAACCAGTAGTTATGTATTGCAACCCTGATGGCTTGCACATTTTTCATTATCAGCGTTGCTGTACACAGATTTATATATTTCATAATTGGTGTTTTTTTTTGCATTGGTAAGAAATTTAATTCTGATGTGAAACTTTTTAAAAACTATTTCTTATTACACAACACATTGTACTAATATGATACTGTTGAATTTTTAAGGTTCTGTTTATAAATAACCACACTCCCAGTTACAATGTGGCTTTCTCCCTTTTCATTACATTTAAATGTAACTTTGGTTTTTATAACTTAGTTAGTAATTTTTACAGTTGTAAATATGTAACAGTATATCATTGTTAAATAAAGGGGGGGGGGTGTATTGATTTTAAACTTCACTGAGCATCATATTTTTTATCTTTTTAGGCTATGATATGTGTTTTTTGTAAAGTTCTATGTAAGGCTGTAATGTACTGACCACTGCTTATATTTTCTTAGATATGTATCCACAAACCAGCACAAGTCTTCAAGAATCCTGGAGTGCCATGAAACCACCACCACCAGGCATATTAGACCACCTTGTAAGTATTTAGATTATCTTAACTTTTTTTTTTTTAACTAAGTAGTGATTGGAAGCAGTCTTCTAAGAGTGTCAGGTAGCATTTATTCTTAACCCTTGTGTATTACTTATAAATAATTTTGATGAAAGAAATATTTCTTCAGCAGTCAAACTTCACTGTTCATGGATTAACTAAGAATATACACCTTCATGTCTATCGAAGTGGTTCAGTGATATTTCAGGTTTCTATGCAAACAAATTTCTCCAATTAAAAAGATGCATATTCTTAAGTACGTATACTCTGTTAGATAGTGTTTGTGTTAAATGATAGTAGTTATATAAATTATTGTAACATGTGAGTTACTGCAGATCTTCGCGTTTGACGGGCACCATTACACTTATGCTCATAAGTGCTAGGAAAATGAGTTTTGCAAGGGTTTATTAGAGCCCCTGTCAAGTTAGTCATGACCCTTGCTGTTCAGTAAATCAGCTGTTGTTTATTTAGACAGGACAATCTTGCAGATAATTTCATGTGACTGTATTGGCTGCTACAGCTTGGGTACTTTAATTTTAATTGGCCTAGAGTAGCAGTGTTATCCATACCATAATACAATGTTCAAAAACGATATTGATTTATTATATAGACATCCAATGTTTATAACTGAGAAATCAAGTCAGTGTGTTAAAGTTTGAATTATGAAGTTAATTATTTATTTTTAACAAATTCATAATAGCAAGAAGAGATTTAACAAATTTGATCATGACCTAGGTTGTTTGATGAACTTCTTTGATTTTCTGCATGACCTGAGGCTGCAAGGGCTGTCTTATTTATTGGAGATTGTCATAGATCAGTTGTGCTTTCACTTTCAATTGTTAACATGTCTCAGTTTATTCAGTGAAACTGTTTTGTTGTCAGCATTTTGCAACTGGAGTCTCAGTGGATAAATTAGATTTTCTTCTTCAATGTACACCATAGAAAGAGTCATTGTCACAAAAATTTGGTGCAAGCTCTGTGCTAAATATAGCGAGAAGACTTGGAAAGAAGTGAAGGGCTCAGTTAGCAAGAGATGGGCAAATATGTATATGGCGCTGAATTCATAATGAAGTACACTCACTTGCCATTTCAATTCAGAAACATACCAAATTGCTTTTGGTATGTATACATCTTATCTTTTTACTTATTACTCAAATTTATAATGATATCCTTTCATTGTTTGTCATTACGCGTACAGCTGTATCATCACTACCTACATTTTTCAGTTAGTATACTATACTATTGCCTTTGATGATGACGTGGTAAACATAGAAACATGTAGAGTCCACATTTTAGAAGCCATAGACTGGCCTGAATTAAAACTGTTTTTAATTGTGAATCGATTTCAACATTGTGTGTTGTTTATTTATTATTTAAGCTCAAATGTTGCCTGTGTAGGCCTATGTTTTTATGCAAATTGTAAGCATCTACATAAAGCAGAAGCAAAATTTTGTTTTCAAAGCAGTTGTTAGAGTGTTAGAAAAATTCAGCAATTTAATTAAACTTATTTTACACTAAAATTGTCATTAACTCTGTAGGCACATATATAAGTTATTACCCAGGATTTATCTTGATGATATGCTCTTTAACTTATTTTCAAGCTACTTGTGGACATTAGATTTGGTTATTTGTTAACTTTATGTCAAGTGAGCATATACTAAGGTAATTAGAGACCTGATTTTGTGGGGTTTTATTTAGGTACCAACTTAACCATAATTAAATGTTTTTATTTTATGTACAGTAATATGTGTTCATTAATTTTTTATTCGTTTTTTTTTAACTGGTATGTCTATACATATATTGTTTTTGGTAAATTTCTGTGTTATCAGTCACTATAATTATCTTTTACATAGATTCTACTGTCCATTTATTTTATTAATGCAAACTGTGCTGTTTCTATTAACTCTCTCAACACAGGGTTGGTCAATCTGATGAAGTCGCATGACCTTTTGTACTCGTTTAAAGTATTTATAAATTTAATACTTACAACTCTCAATATATTGGGTATATCTTCATGAAATTTGGCAGTCTTTCACATACAAAAACCCATATTTCTTAGTGAAGTATTTTTAACAAATTAAAATAAAAATTTGTCGATAAATTTATTGAATATTTGTTCTGAATAGTCCGTGTGCAAAGTAATTTTCATGTTAAAATTAAAAATACTTTTCATCCTCTCAAAAATCTCAAATTTCCTTTGTGTAATCACTAAAACCTCCTAAATGCATTTCAAACGTTTTTTATTTTCACTAAATCCTCATAGTTTATCTGTTATTTTCTCAAAATAAGATCGATCAATACCACTGACCTCATAACCACCTAAAAAAAAATCAAAATAAACCTAAATTAACCTTTTCTTCTTTCTAGAATGACTTCATATTGTAACATGAAACTACATTCATTTATTCCAAGTAGCTCTAAGTTAGTAACATTATACATCTATTTATAATTAAATTTTATTGTTTTATTTCTCTTTGAACTGTGTCTAACTTCTATCTGTGCCATTAAAAGTTGTAAATCACTCGGGGAACGTGCAGCTCATGTTACACTATTGAATTACATTATCCACTAGCTGCTTGTGTGCCTCATGAACCATTTTAATTATATTAATATTATTACTTATTTTACCTAATCTTGTCTTAACTAACTTACAGATCAGTATTTTTAATTTTAGCTACTTTTATAATAATAAATAAAGAATAAATTTGAAAAACAAGAAATAAAGTACTTAACCAATCTTCTTTTTTCTTGCAGTTGGGTTTCAAAGAGAGGTAGCCCTAATTTTATATACTATAGATAGTAATGCACTTAATAATTTTTATTTAATTAAATAATGCACCAGAGAATGTAGACTAACATTCAAAAACTAGACAAATTCACTTTCCTCTCAAAAATTTTCTGTGAGTGAAATTGATGATATTCTGTTCAGAATACAATGTTATACAATACGTCATTTGATAGATGAAAACCTTGACTTTGTATTGGTTATTGGTAATATATAATGAAACTTAAGAGAGAGAACTATCAATGAAGGATGTGACAGGTGGGATGTGATTTTCTGTTCGACGGCTCTGTAACCAAACAAGATTGAAGACTATAAAAATTACAGTTTGTCTGAGCAATAACAATTTTATAGAGAGTAATTTATGTTTAATTTCATACTTTATTTGGAGGGGGTGGTGGATAAAATAGGGATGATGACATGCTAAGAGAAAATTTCACGTGGGTCACACTAGTGGAAATTCAGGATTTATTTTAATATTGCCTTGTAGTATTAAGAACTTAAAACTTGTATACTATTAAAATATGGATTATTAGCTAAAATTTTATGTTATTCTAATTTGTATAAATAAACAAAAAGTAGTTTAATAAAATTTTAAATGTAAGATACAAAAACCTTGTGTCATGCGCACAGTAAAGGATACCCATGACGATAGGGTTAAAGCAGGTTGCCAGAAAAAAGTGAATACATTACTGTCAATATCAACTACAGTCTAATGGACAATGTAAACTGTGCTGAGAAAACTGTAGACAAACTGAGAATTACAGTAATTTCAAGTGTACAAGCTTGTTTTGAATCAAGATTTTCCTCATTTGAGAGTGAACTTTATCAAAGTGTGTTTCTGATAGATCCAGTAAACTGTAATAACACTACCTGGGAAAGTGGGTGTTTAAACTTACCTGGAAATCATTTTTATGAGACACTAAAAATGAACAATTTGAATAAAACTAAGATAAGCTCAGAACAAATATTAACAGATATTTGATTCAATTCTTTCTGACATGTTTGTAGAATGTGCAGCCAAGAAATAGAAGGCAGACATGTGCAATGAAATTGAAATTGATTCTATTTGTGACAAAGCTTTAACTGATTGTGGATATCATGGTCAGGATGATTCTGACTGTATCATGTCTAGTAGATCAAGTGATGAAGCTGAAACAAATGAAATTCTCTGAAGAACTGATTGCACAAGAATCATTTGATATTGACACTGCTGATGGAGATAATTCTCCTGTACACAGTGTGTGTGTGTGTGTGTGAAGATAATGATTGAATATGCTCCACTAGCTAAGAGTTAAACACAAACAGGACAAATGATCTTGTCATATACAAATGATTTTGCAAAGTAGATTTATTTCAAATTATCTCAATTTTTTATGATATGGGTATTTATGTAAGTTTGTGACTTTTAATTTTTTGAACGAATAGTGAATTTATGCTTTATTTCTTAGTAAAAAATTCAAATACCATTTTACTCTTGTCTGTAAGTAGGAAAGAGTAATTATCTTAGGATTCTAGTCAAGATGTTATGTGTTAGACTTTAAGGATATTGTAACATTATAATTTTTCTGCATATAAAAATTTTTATTAATTGTTATTTTATTTATCAAATTAACCCTTTCATTATGGGCTCAGTATAAAATACAGGAATTTGTATAAACATTTGCACACATTAAGTATTTATACTATAACTTTTAATGCAGTATGTGTATCTTCACAAAATGTGGTAGACTTTTAATGAACATTACAAGTCTTTTGTATGCAAAAAATCAGATTTTTTAATGAAGTATTTTTGCTAACGATTTGTTTATGAATATATCGAGTCTGTTTTGTTAATAGTCTGATTGCAAAGTGATTTTCATTTTGTAATTAAAGAAACTATTCGTTGTCCTTAAAATCTCAAAATATTGATTGAATACAATATACGTTGGCTTCCCTTTGGCTCAGCGGTAAGTCTGTGGAGCTATAGTGCTAAAAATTAGGTTTTGTTACTTGTGATAGGCATAGCACAGCTAGCCCATTTTGTAGCTTTGTGCTTAACTTCAATCAAAGAAAATATCCATTGCTTTATTTTTGTGCCATATATATTAGAAATAAAGTATTCAGTCATTACATGTATTTCAGTTACCATTGTCAAAATTTTAATAAGTTTTGTATTTAATATCATGAACAGAAGTTCATAATCTCTGCAGAATTATTGGTTTTATGTTTTTTCGAGGATACCTGACACCACGCAAACAAAATATAGTTACTTACTTACCTCAGTTGATACTTATGACTACTACTCGACTGCCATGGTTTCTTCTTTCTCCATCTAAGCGTTGGTTTGATTTTTTCTCGCTTTCTCCAGACTATTATACTCCACTCAATTGCCCTTGGCAATATTTGTCTTGTGATACTCTCCACCTCTATGTTCCCTCTATCCTGGTACTGTATATAAGAAAATAACAGATAAACTATAAGGATTTAGTGAAAAAAAACATTTGAAATGCATTTAGGAAGTTTTAGGGATTGCACAAAGGAAATTTGAGATTTTTGAGATGACAAAAAGTATTTTTAATTTTAACATGAAATTACTTTGCACACGGACTATTCAAAACAAATACCCAATATATTCATGGACAAATCTTTAGTTTATTAAAAATACTTCACTAAGAAATATGGTTTTTTGTAAGTAAAAGACTTGTAATATTAACTGAAAAACTGCCAAATTTCATGAAAATATACCCACTATATTGAGATTTATAA